CCAGACTTGAAAGTCTTGTTCATTGATATCTGAATGCAGATCGGAGGTATTTCTGAAAGTTGCCAGATCATCAAACTCACTCCTGCAGTACTGCTGGGCTTCCGACCAAGTCTTCGATTGTGGTATGAATATGTAATTTAAGTGGTCCCCATGTTGCTCGTGACAATAGAAGTAGTAATAGTAATCACAAGTTGTTCCATAAAACCTTTCAAAAGAAATATGAAAACAATTACAAAGAGGAAGAATTAGATGCATAAATCAAATGCGTCTAAAATAAATTCCAAGGTGTGGAATTTGACTAGGAGCATCATTTAGTTTTTTTGGGTTATTTATCTACTTTCGTAAAAAATTCAAATCAAGAACTTTGAGTGCTTTCCCTATTCTCCTTTATGGTGGCCAATAGAGCTCAATGTGCTGCAACTTATGAAAAACACATGCAAATAAACAAAAGACAAGCAAACTAAGTAACACACATCACCATTAGCAGCATTAAGAAACACAAAATCCATCCAAAACACAAGCAAATACCAAAATGCTGCATTTCATATAAAACAATAGAACTAGGAAAACCTCAGACATAAGACAAATTAACTTTGGAACTAATATCTCCAACACAATCAGTATATTGGAAGGAACACAAACACAACAAACTGAAAATCTTTAAAACCTTAGTTGTCTTCCCATAACACAACATATGAATCTGTAAATGAGCTTCAATCAACCAATCAATCTTATAATGTTTCTATTTTTATTTGATCCCTTTCATATACATATACATACACATATATACATATATATACATACACATATACATATATATACATATGTATATGTATGTATATATATATATATATATACACACATACACATATATACATATATATACATATGTATGTATGTATGTATATATATACACTTTTTTTACTTGCAAAATTATCTTTTAAATTGACAAACATCATATGAGTAATTCGTGGCACAATTCAAACGGGATCGAAAGACAATCTTTCTCTCTCCATTGACTTCAATACATCATTTTTTCGAAATAAGGTCCCATGGAGGTCCACTGGAAGGGGAGGGACTTTGCCACTCTATTTAAACAGTCCTTCGGCGCCACTTGATGACGTAGTATACTTGAAATAGTTGCTCTGCAGCAGTTTTACTCGCGATTGAGAAACGGCCCGTATCACTCGTCGATATCATCAATATACTTATGTTATTATAATGTAATTTTAAGTTTGCACATCTTTATTTATAATTTTTTCCAAATGTACATGTCTTCAGTTCAAACTTTAACGCATACTGTTTTAAATTTGAAAAAACTAGATAAAAAGAAACTAAAAGTTAAAATCTTGTTTTCCATGCCCCAAGAGCAATAAAAACACTTTCATAATTCATGCATGAAAGCATATGGATATTTTTATTATAAAAAAAGGATAAACCTACAAATAAATAAAAAGTTGCAAAATTAGATGTTCAACTTTTGTTTGCCACCATTGCTAACAACGATTGTGATCCAATAGTATAGATATTGGTTACAACATATTTTTGTCAACAATTCAGGTGTAGGAAATAAATGCAAGTTGGAAAAACGGGAAAAGAGTTTCATGGTAGGCGCCCTGCATCATTCCGTTACCAATTACTGTGCAAATAAGTGCTCAGTGACAAAAGTCAGAACAAGCCTAGGGTTAAGTTTCAAGCGCTGAAACGCCATGCCAAGATGGCCTTGATTAAAAGCCAAGGTTTGCTAGTTAGTTAACTGGGAATCAACACCATCATATGCAGGTTGTGCCTCAAACTGGCAACCACCGTGATTTGAAATGAACATAATGCAAGGTGGTAGGAGTAGTGCGCCATCTAGTGGCTCCATGTTATGAAATCCAACTTTAATTGACAGACAAAAACACTGATACAGAAATCTCCATATTAATCTAACCTAAACTGTTCTTACTTACCTTCAATTAGGACTCACAACTCCACTATCAAACAACAGTAACAACAGATTAAAATGTTTACCTAGAATGGATTCTAGTGGCTGCTTGAGTAAAATAATAGAGGACATACTCTGTGGTATAATACTATGCTTGGCAGGTGAACATATTGTAGTCTTTAAAACAGTGCAAGCACATATTGACATTACCTTTTATGACTGTAATAGACCGTAGCACAGCGTGCCCCATTGTCTGGCTCGTATCGTGCCCAGGGAAGATCGAAGTAGGTGTTTTCTTCGTTAGACCATGCCCAATAGTCGCTGGTGTTTTTGTACAGGCCGATCCAGGCATGATAATAGTTCATGAACATAAGGTTTTCATCCGACTGCTTATAGATGGTGGCCAAGTCAGTGTGGTAAATTGTGCTTGAACTGGATAAAAGAAAAAACTCTTTTAAATTGCATTGAATCTGTCAGAAAACCAATGCAATATCATTTTCTAATCACTAAGCACAAAATGCAGCCAAGTCTAATGGAAAGTCATTAGTTTAGCACATATTTGGTTTCTATTAAAGTGTTATATTTATGAGAAGATTACATTTATTTTTTTACCAAATATATTGGAAATCCATCCAGAATTATTTAGATGATACTATTTATTATACTAGAAGAAACTTCTGAGGATGTCTATAGTTACAATACTCCTCTTTGAGGACCATGTATTTCTTGACCAAAGTGCTGGTTAGTCCTCAGCATCTTGAGTACGTACCACTGGATAGAATTCTGTACAATTATTCATTTCCAAGAGGATCAATGGTACTTCCTTTAATGATCCCATGTATAATTGTTATAGGCAATTTCTAGTGAGACGTTCAAGTTTTACTTACTATATAATCCCAATTATAACTTCCAATAGCTTTGTGAATAAAAAGTAAACCCCCACCTCCTGCAGTAGCTTTGAGCCTGTTCCCAGGGGACATGACTTTGGACGTAAAAGTAATATCTCTGCACCACTGATCCTAGTCCAGACACAGCACTGCTGAGGAGGAGGGGGAGGAGGAGAAGGGAGCGGTCGCTGTTCATCATCGGCAATGTTCTGATGTACAAAAGGACTCTTATTGAATCATGCAGTGCCATAGTTTTGCAGTGAGTATAAAAAATGTTGCACAACTGAGGAATAATGGATATCGTAATATCAGGAACAGTATATTTGTAAATGTTTTTCACCAACAACAAATGGTTCATTTATTGTAACATACCAAATTAAGGTACCAAATCGACAAAAAACTACTTAAATCATTGTCAAATACCTTAAACATTTGACTGAGCCCCAGCGTTAATGTGTTGAGTCAGAGTTACCTGTATCGATGCTTGTTTAGCTGTCTCCAGTGCTGCGACGTCCTCCGTTAGAATCACCCGACTGCTCGATGAGCGACCAACGTCCAGCTGAACATCAACAATCTTCCAGTTCGACAGATCAGAACAACCATTTGCCTATCAGACACACTTATATAAACAGTCAGCTCCCTGTGGCTTCGCACTATTTGACTGTTGGCAAATGAAGCAGAGATGTACCTACTTAGACCTATACATTCAGTGGAAAGAAGTGAACCCTTTGGAATAATCTGCATTTATGTAAAAATCTGTTCCACATTTTTTTCTGATCTTCACCTAAGTTACAATAATGAATAAACAGAATATGTTCAACTGATAGCACACAAATTATTGGGTTTGTTCTTATCCATATTAAAAACATTGTTTAAACATTCACAGTGTAGGTTGGAAAAAGTATGTGAACTCCGACTTTTACAACAACTGACTGAGTTAGTAGTTATCAAACCTCATTTTAATCATTGAAACAAGATTGGAAGTATTGTTCGAAGCATCTGTTGATCATGTTTAAAAAAAAATAATCTCAGAAGACCTACGATCATGTTTTGGTTGACTTTGGGTTAGTAATAAGTTAAATTATTTATCTATCCATATTTAAACCCCTTTTCTAAAAAAGGAGCCAATGTAGGAGTGTGGCTGCGCTTCCTAGAAGTGGGCGCCCAGCAAATGAGGCCAAAGTCAAAATCTGCCTTTCAGTGGACCAGTCAGAGTTCAGACCTTATCCCGATAGAGATGCAGTGGAATGACCTCAAGAGAGCCGTTCACACCAGACGTCCTGACAATATGTCTGAACTGAAGGAGTTCTGTGGGGAAGCAGGGTCCAAAGTGTCTCCTGAACATTGTGCAGGTCTGATCTAGAGCTACCGAAGTGTTTGAGGTTATTACTGCAGAAGGAAGTTTAACCAGTTATTACATCCAAGGGTTCACTTACTTTTACCACCAGCACTTCTAATATTTAATGGGTGTGTTCAATAAAACCATGAAAGATTATAAGTGTGTGTTATTAGCTTAAGAACATTGTGTTTGTCTATACTTGTGACTTCGGTGAAGATCACTTTTAATGACCAATTCATGCATAAAACCAGGACACTCCAGAGGCTTCACATACTTTTTCTTGCTGCTGTATATTCTGCTCAAAGGACACGAGGAAGCAGAGAAGTAAAGCAGTAATTTTCCAATTCAAAATGATTTTATTTATCATATGTCTTAGGTAAGGTTAGGCCAGTTAATGACTAACATGGTTAGGGTTATTTAAGTACATACATTTGTCAGTGATTTATCATGCACATAAGATGTTGCTTGCGGACTCGTCGTTCTAAAAAAGGAGCACCAACCACCATTATCAGATTGTCTAATGATGACATCATCTTTTTAGTTAATTGAAGGCAATAATGGGATTCATGCCTATATTTCAAAGAATGTTAAATGTTGCACAGCCCAAATATATTCAAGCTACTAAAGCATTAAAACATAAGGAATATTTGTATTTTGTCCTCCTAACATTGAAATGTAGGATGTGCTACAGTTCACTTTCTTTGAGTTGTGCTCATATATTTACCCGACTGCAATTTGTGTAACATAAGTACATCAAAATGCTATCAACGCATGTAAAAGAAATACACAAAATGCATTCATAAATGTACACAGCATAACTGAAAAAAAAAAATACAGATACTTTCCGTATAGGAGGTTTTATTATGCATTGATTTACACTGCAAATAAACTCTGAATTACATCTGAAACAAAAAGAAAACAGCTGTTAGTATCTCACTTAAAAAGGTCTTAATATTTAAACATTATAATACCATCTTTGTGACACATTGAAACCCTAAAAAGCTACATTTTATCAACTTTGCTACACCACCGAACAAGGTATTCTGTAGCAAATTGTTTGACCAAATGAATAATAAGCAACTTAGTCACTTAGTAAAGTCCTCTGTTTACTAGCATTAATTGACTACAGCAGTGAGAGCTGAAGTTACTGGCTGTTGTAGGGAATCTGAAGTGTTGGTTGTCGTTAAATTAGAATAAAGTGTCATCACAAATACCTGGGCGGGACATGCTCTTCTCCAGCTGCTTGAAGGATTCTCCCGTCAACGTGCGAATCTCGTCCTTCAGCCGACGGTGGCCGTCCAGAGTCAGGTGCCAGAAACACGACTTCCTCTTGCCATCTCGGCACAGCTGGTTGCAGGTTTTGCGGAAGCTGTTGTTGAAGCACAGGTTGTGTCTGATGGTGTTCTTCCAGCCATCTGGGGCAGTCTGAAAGAATGGGAAGTGCTCTCTGGGGAAATAGGGGGGATATGAGGAACACTCCAATGCAACTTGAGTATTGCACATAACACAAAGGCACTTGAAAAAGAAAAGAAAAAGAGAGGAGACAGACATTTCGGAAGAGTTTGCCTTTAATCTACTTAAAGAGGCTCTCATGCTTTTTGGAGTTTCCCTTTCCTGTAGTGTGTTCCTTTTCTTTCCTTTCCTTTCCCTCCCCCCCCCCCCCCCCGCATGAAAGGCCTCCATTGGACGCCTTTGTTACATAGTGACATCACCAAGCAACACTCACATTTTATAGGCTGGTGCTCCAAAACCTTGTAAATGATAGGCTAAGGGGCGGGACATCTCTAACCAGTTGACCAATCGCAACAGTCTGGTTTCAGACAGAGGGTGAGAAGAGGTGCTGCAGCACAGGCAGTATGAGAGAAATAAAGAGCTTTTTGAACATTAGAGCATGGAGACATGTCACAGTAGAGATAACAAATGCAATTATGAACTGAAATATTAGCATAATAAGTTTCCTTTAAAAATATTCGATAAGGTGCCCTCTGTTAATCTACAGAATGTTCTATGGGACTAGACTACAAATCTTTATATGAACCTGTTGTGTGTGTTTTACCAAACTATCAAGTTCTGACCTGGTGAAGTTGTAAATCTGCTGGACTTTGAGGCTCCCAGTATGGCTGCTCTTGAGCGCCAATGCGATGAGGATGCAGTAATTCACAGGTGGACGAGGCCAGCATCCTGGCTTCAGGGTCCTGCTGTCCTGGAGGCAAGTAGAACACTAATTTAAAGCCCATTAATCCTTCTGACGGTGCACATGAAGGACACATTTCAGAAACAGGGGAAATAAACTTGTGCAACGCCAACCTTACAGATCTTAAGGAAAATATGTATTCCTCAAGGATATTTTAAGCCCTTCAAATGTCAACCTTTTTCAAACAGCGTCCAGACAATTTCAAGCTAGGGAAAAGTGAACAGGTGTAACAAGTCACATATATGAAATGTGTAAAACCAATCAGTCATATTAAGATGATTGAGAAAATAGATTTTAAGGGGGTTTAATAATTAAGAAAAAAAAGGGAGGAGTTCCAAGAGCTCTCTGTACCCCACTAGAGGAATATGGATCATGTCCAAGCCCAGGGTTCTCACCCTGGTCTTCGGGGTTCTTCCCTTGCGTCTGTTCTTGGCTGGTGCACAGGAGACGTCTTCATTCTTGATCTAGTGGTCAAAAGATGGTGTTATGATTCATAACACACTATATAGTTGTCTGAATCAATGCTTTATTAGTATTTGTGTTATGCTCCAGGATATAAAAAAAAAATCAGGGCAGGGATTTGACCATTTACACCTTATATTAATTAATATGTGATCTTTATTTGGAGCTTTTACAACAAACAAATTAATTCACCTTGCAAAACAAGTTTAAAATGTAAGACTGGTTGCACAATATTAACTGTGACTGTTGAGAGTAAACTAACCATAGCACCACGCATGTGATGGGATTTGATTTGTGATGTCTGTACTGCATACGATACCATGTCAGTGGAGTGCGGCATCTCGTGCTTGAGAGGAGCACCATGGGGGGCACACGTGTGGAGCTCTGTGCCGAGTTGACGTTGAGTCCCTGCTGGGTTCCGTGGTGGTTTTTGGATTGCATCAGCAGGTTCACAGGGAGTCTGCAGATCTGCTGAATTTTCTCCGTACTGAATAGGGCTGGCAATATTGGGATTCACTAGCAGCCACAGGTTTGGCTTCACAAAGGTGTCTGAAGGATAGAACAATCAAATGCACAGTTTAAAAACAGTGAAAGTCTTTGCGTTTTAAAAAAAAAAAAAGTAACATCCATTTTCAATTGGTCCAACTGGTACTATTTTCATCAGGAAAACAGAGGAAAATAAGCTAAAAAGTATGAGGAAGGGAGTAGAAACACTGCATGTGAAATCAGCATGTTTCAGAATATCAGGGGGTAATGATTTGTTAGGGAGGAAATCTGTTTAACAAATGTCTTATTGAGACGTTTTTGACTTTTTGGGAAATATATATATATATATATATATATATATATATATATATATATACACACATATATACATACCTACTCTCTTTCCTTGACAAGTAGTTCATTAACACAGTCTTTACAGACGGACGTTGATTTTCTTAGCTAAGGCTTAACAAAAAAAGCATACTTCCCACAAAAAACGTCTCCTTAACCCACTGGTATACTAACAACGCATTACAGTGAGAAACCCTGCCCATTACCAAAGGATAATTTTAATACCATAGAATATCAGTCAAATGTGCTATAAAGGAATACAAAGAAAGCTTTTAAAGTCAATCCTGCATAAAGCAGACAGCAGCTGTTTAATCGGCAGATGAATTTACAGACATTTATAAAATAAACTAAAATGTTTTTCTCTGAATTTACCTGATGTTTTATCGTACCAAATTAATTCGTCTTTTCTTCTCGAGGCTCTTGAAGAAGGCCTCTGGACCACATGTTGATCATTCAGTTTGTCATCTGTCGTCATAGATTAACAAATTGACACACAAACATATGCTTACTGACAATCTGCACGCCATCTCATAATCAGATTTAACTATGAACAATCCTCCTCAGCGGTTTACTGTGCTGTTTGGATTCATTTGCAACATTTCCACCCACAGTGAAGCTAAGGAAATCAGTCACCGTGGAAAAACTGATCCGTGGTTGTGGCCAGTTTCAGCTCCTTGTCCATGTCCCAGTCCGTCAGGCCAACAGAGCAGTGCAGGTCGAAGAGTCGGGCTTTGGTTTTAAGCTGTAAGGTCATGGTTTGATGCCTTTCATGGGTTTCTGCGTTCAGTTCAGAATCTCTCTGATAAGAGTCCCCGCTTTACTGACAGGCTGCTGATACTACAGCTGGAGCTCAGCAGCCTGATTGGACCCAATCAGACCTGAAGAGTTCGGCCTGTGCTGAAGCCAGTGGCGAGCCGTAACTTGTTATACCCCCCCACCCCCTTATGCTAATCATAAATCTATCAATTAGATTTTAAAAGTAGGGATATTATCCGGCTGAACAAAACGTGCCTTTATCTAACAGGTTCGTTTTCCACAGACCTTATTTCAAGCTATTTTCCAAAATCCTATGGAGAAATCCCATTGCACTTTTGTCGAGGGAATCCGAGCGCAGCTTACTTCCGGGTTTTAGGACGCGTCACTGCACCACTTGCATATACCTCACAGTGGGCGGAACTTGTCATAAAGTCCGCGATAATAAAGCCCGCCCATTTAGAAGGAAGATATGATTGGTCAATTGTACTGTCATTTGACATTACTCTCTCGTTGAGTTACTATAGCGGGCCCTCTGTGAATGTAGAGAGGGACCAACAAGCTCTCCCGTCTTCACAGTAACTCGCAGAGACGGCATTTAACCCTTCACATTCCAACAGAAACTGAACAGGCAGATTCGAAGGATTTATTTGGAAATGTTATTTTAAATACAATTAAATCAAGTTATTTTGGTAAAACTAATGAAAAATGTAACAACAACAAAATGTGGGCCCTGACGGCTAGCCACTGGCTGAAGCTTATTCTATCATTCATCAGGGAGATATCTGAGGCTAAAGCTATTTGCAATTAATAAATATGAACACGTTTCATAGGTTACATATAATAAAAAGTATAAGATTGTAATGAGGATTCTGAAACTAAATTGACTCTGATTAATAAATAGATCCTTGTTGTGAATAATGTTCCAGATTGATTTCAGGTGATGCCACCTCCAAGACAACTAAACCAACTTCCTCTCCTGAGGAAGACTGATAGAGGCTGTTGAAAACACAGGAACAGCTGGAAAGTAAGGTCCATTTGTAAATATTGACTTACTCAAAAAACATAAAACAAGTTAAATTGTTGTGACATTAAAGTTCAGAGCACTCTGACACTTTATTGCAAAGAAACTGCTACGGAAGAGCTCTATGATAAAAACTGAAGCAGCTCTGACTAGCTTTCATTTTACTCAGTTCTGTTTTCTTGTGTGATCGAGAACCTTCAAATCGAGGGTTATACGGTTTTGTATTTGTGTTAGCCATGTGTGGTGGTGGTCTAGGGAAAGTAGTTGCCATGCCAACATGCTTAACTAAGATGATAAACAGTGAACCTGCTAAACATCTGCATGTCAGCACGTTCTATTAATCAGAGCTGTTTACATCCCATCAAACACAGCATTCTGCTGGCTCTCATCTGCAGCAAAGAATACACTTCTCTGCAGGTTAACAACATTTTTCATTACTTTTTTTGTATTACTACTTATTTTTAACAGTTACAATACCCAACTCTTCAATTACACACGTCTTATATATTGTACGCAAATGTATGAATACAACCCTTTCCTACTTCTTTTGCTGACATTGCTTTCTTTCCTACATCTGTATATATAGTGAAAATAGTTACAACCCATGTGTATTTTATTCATTTCTTGGGGCATTAGTGCAGTTTCGTCTATTTATTTTGTTATCACATTTACAGTACACATTCACAAGTAAGAAACAGATCGAAACAGAAACAGATCAATTTTTACAGCATGAAAAAAAACAAAATCATATATTCATCTTTAAATATCTATATATCTTTGTATAGCTTTTAACGTTAAGTCTTTCAAATACTCTCAATATTTTCGCCTCATTCCAGTTCATTTACAGAGAAACTCTAACAGGGACGGCGAGGACTGGAAGCTCCTGTTCGGCTGCTGTATTTTTTATATCTAACAACAATCTAGTTAAGACAGCTAATTAGGTGGGGGACGGGGGGGCTCACACACTTCACTCATTACTATTTTGGGGAGGAAACCACAGTAATGATCAGACATGCTGACAAAACCTAGCACTAAAACAGAAATAAATACAGGTTGTACAGAACCTGGTGGACACTGACGCTATGAAAAGGAATGTTTTGATGACAGGTTAGAGTTCTGCAGACGTGTTAGGTTCAGGTTTGAAACCCTAACTTTGACCTTTTGCTGATTTCTAAAGTCAATCCACAATAACAATTACACTGCACCTTTAAGTGCTTCATATGTCTGGATATTAACACGATCTCAAAAGATGGTTGGTGTTTGTTGTGCTGGGAGTTCAAATAAAACCAAGGCGTTGCTGTCCTGTGGCTGGAGGTTTGTTTTGTGGACTTAGTAAATTGCAAATTCTTCTTCTAGTGTATTTTGCGAGCTGATGTGTTAAGTGGAGAGTGTGCCGCTTAAAACAGCACACTAGGCGCCAGAAAGATAAGACAAACTTGGATAATGTTTTGCGTTGCAAATGAGTTGCATCCTTTATCTACTGAGCTGATAATACCAACAACCCCCTCTGATGGACCGAGCTGCTTCTGGTTCTTTTTCAGCTCTATATTTAGGTTGATTATGCATTTAACTTTGTGAGCCTTTGCTAGAACTCCCGCAACAACAGGAGATTCGGATGCCTGGAATCAATTAACACCTGCGAGTGAAGAATGCAGAACCTTTAACATCAGAGCGTCAGAATCCTTAACAACCAGGTGAGACTGCGAGACAATGTTCAAGACGTACGACTGGATGAAATGACAGGAAGAAGGAAAAAGGGAGGAGGAAGAGAAGGCTCAAAAGATAGGAATGTAGTTGTCGATCTTGGTGCGGTGCCGCTGGGCGATGCACTCGGCGATCCACACGATGTTCCTGCACTCCTGCTCCTTCAGCTTGACGTAGGCGTAGAAGACGCTGAAGTGGAACTGGTTGAGAAAAGCCAGTTTGTTCAGCTTCACCTGAAGGGAGGAGGAGGAGGAGGAAGATGAGTGTAAAAGCGCCACAGTGCTCACAATGACAATTATTGTTTTATTTTTGGCTTATTGCGAATATAAGTCAATATCCAGCTGATGAAGAATTGCAGGACAAAAATGCCAAAATAGTTTTTGTATTTTTTTAGAAACACAAGTTTTGTCCACATGACAACAAGTTGATATTCAGTTATAAAATGTCACTGTATATTTGTTGATCATCATTTGTAAAATAAATACCCAGAATGTTTGTTTTGCAATTTATTCATATTAATAAAAAGGTTTTGCCCATCAAATACAATTTTCAGAATATAATTATCTACATTTACTTCTACTTATTTTCTAATGAATTAAAGAAGATCTGAGTCGTCTGTCTTCACACGTACAAACTGTTTGTGGTTTTGTGCAGGGATACATCACTGGAAACAGTCAATTAAAAAAATATGTATATTTATATATATATATATATATATTTTAAACATAAAACGCCTGATGACAGAGAAGGTCAGCAGGTCAGAGAAAGTCCGCAGCAACAAAACATATCCAAGCACAGCCACAAAGCTTCTCCTATCTAAATATCGGTGTAATGCATTTATGCTTTTTAACCACACACTTTTGAAATGTTCCCAGTGTGCATTGAAGCCTTCTCTGATGTGGATGCTTTTGGAAAAGGTTTAAGTCACTTCTCCAGATGGGATTGAGTTTGTCTGATAACGTGTGTCTCACCTCATGCTCAAAGAATCGGTCCTCCAGTGTTTTGTCGCCTGGGTTGCTGCCGGCACCTTCGAACAGCAGCTTGTATTCCTGAGGACATGAGGGTCAGAGATATTAGCAGTGAAGCAGCAACATCAGGAAGATACGTCCCCAGCTGACTCAGAAAGCGACTCAGGTTCTGGTCCAGGCTCTCGTCATCTCACGCCTAGACTACTGCAACTCCCTCCTGGCTGGTCTACCTGCATGTGCCATCCGACCTCTGCAGCTCATCCAGAATGCAGCGGCTCGTCTGGTTTTCAACCTTCCTAAATTCTCCCACACCACTGCGCTCCTCCGCTCCCTTCACTGGCTTCCGGTAACTGCTAGAATCCACTTCAAGACACTGGTACTTGCTTACCGTGCTGCGAATGGATCTGGCCCTTCGTACATCCAGGACATGGTTAAACCGTACACCCCAGCGCGTGCACTACGCTCTGCATCAGCCAAACGACTCGTTGCGCCCTCGCTGCGAGGGGGACCCAAGTTCCCATCGGCGAAAACACGTGGGTTTGCTATCCTGGCTCCAAGATGGTGGAATGAGCTCCCCATTGACATCAGGACGGCAGATAGCTTGCACATCTTCCGGCGCAGACTGAAAACTCATCTCTTTCGACTCCACTTCGAGCGTTAGAACGATTAACGAAGCACTTTTATACCAATAAAGGACAGGATTACCTAAAGCCAGTTGAGTAGCACTTGAAATGTTTGGCTCTATGAAACCTGATATACTTATATGATTCTGTTTTCTTCAAGGTTGTGTCTTCCTGGTCGAATGTACTTATTGTAAGTCGCTTTGGACAAAAGCGTCAGCTAAATGCAATGTAATGTAATGTAATGAAGTGAGTAATAAACGGGGAGATGGAGATACTAGAGGGAACAAATTGTCTGATTTAAAAAGGGATGGATTGTTCCAAAAACAGACATTTTATATTTGATTGGTTTGTGGGGATCTCAGCAGGCAGCTGGCGTTTGGACTTACAGGATAGAAATCAGCGACGGCCTTGACCTGCTCGTAGTCATCTGCCCGGGCCAGCTGAGCAAGGCCTTCTGGGTAAAGCTTGCCGCAGTGGGGGAAGAGCTTGGCGCGGTCCTCCTTGGACAGCTCTGTGCCGAACGAGTTGATAGTGATGATGAAGGCCCTCCTGTCGGCCTCGAACTGCAGCAACAAGTAGAATGTAAGTGGAGCAACAACGAGTGACTGACTGAGCCTCTACTTTATTCCACAGCCAAAAACACTTAACATTTTTATCTACACAGTAATTAGTAAGCCTAAACAAAGTTGGACATAATTACAACCTTTAAAAAGCACTTACGACGTAGCAGATGTGTCTGAGTGTGTGTAGGTGCATGTGTGTTTGTTTATTTATGTAAATAAACAAGGCAGAGACTCACCTCCAGGATGGGACACATGGTGTCAGCCGTGGTTCCTCCGAGGTTGGAGCAGAACTTATAGAAAGCCTCCAGGTAAGCCTGAAAAAAGGATTTAAAAGGTTATGTAACCAATAAATAAACAAAGCAAAAACCAGATCATGGCATTTGTTTAAAATATAAATATGAAAGAGAAAAAGTGGAATTTAGCCTTTGCAGACCATTTACACGCACAAACACCTACGGTATATAACACACTACTGGAACGGGAAACCCCTAAAAAGCATGATAGGGCCCCTTTAAAGCTCTTGCATTAAGTACGTTTATCATCAAGTATGATAATAAATATAATATGCTTCACCTTATAAAGTGTGTTACGAATGATTTCAATGTTCATCTCATCCAAGTCCTGTTCAGATATGCAGTCCTGGAAGAAAGCAGCTGAAAAGCAAAGAAAAGTACATTAAAACCAACAGCAAGGAGATGTTTCCTTTAGCTTTGGCACCATCTGCTGTTCTGCTAAAATCATTACCATTCAGTTTTCACACTTTGCATATTTAAATGGGAGGTTTTTTAGGATGGAACAAACCGAGGGGCGTGTCCACCAGGATGGCGTTGTAGAGCTCGGCGGGGGTCTGGGCGATGTTGACCGCCTCCATCTGCTCGAAGCTGCCCAGGGGATGGCACTTGGGCACCAGCTCAGAGATGGCCCGCTGGTGGAGGGTGCCCGTGATCAGCAGTATGACGTTATCAATCATATAGCTGTACCTGAAGACACAAGGGGGGGGGGGGGGGGGGGGGGGAGGGGGAGTTGTCATGACAGAGCGAAGAAGTCTTAAAAGTATGTTTCTACTACTTCAAAATGACAGTATATACCCTTGAGCAGGTTTTAAGCTATTAAAACTATATTCGAAACATTAAAAGGTAGGGTAGGTAATTCACTTCAGAAACACTTGTTATATTCCATGGAATGCTCTTAACATCCCGATAGGAATGAATACATGAAATGCTTTGACAATAAATATATACAAATATTTCATCTGTGGAAGCCGTGGCGCTGTAAAAAGCAAGTCCAATTATCTGCCTCGGCCCGGGGCAGATAATTGGATGGTACAAACTTATCTCGTGCCCTCATTGGTCATGGGTGCGTTAGTGTGTGTTGGAGGAGGGGCTCTGTAAGGAAGTCTGAAGGAAGGGGCAGATTTTTTTAGGCTGCGTACTTTCAAATTCTAGCGCACTTGAGCTGGTTTCTCCATTCTTACCTACCCTACTTTTAAGTGCTCGATTAAATCAACCTGCTGAGAAAGGGAATCTAAAGCATGATCAAATTAATAGCTGACAGAGTTAGCGAGATCTGTTTCTTAAATTCTTGCCAAAAAACTATGATGAATAACATTAACCCCGACACTATTATTTTAGTGTGTGAAAAATGTGATTATGTTATCGAATGTGTTTGTTTTAATATTATAATTGATTTTATACTGATGTGATGTTATTTGCTTTAGTTGTTCCCCTGCTTTTTTCAGTATTTCACAAGTGTTAAATTCACAAAAGAAAGATTTTACAGAAAAGGTTATAGTTCAGGAAGTTGGAAGTTATTTCAACAGCTTTTTTTGCTTACGTGATGAAGTCCATGAAGCTAGCCAGAGGCTCGTAAGACTGATTCCTCATGTGGCGAAACTCCACCACCATCTTCTCCTTCAGCTTGTCATCGATAACGGACACGGTGAGCGGAGACGCCTCGTTTGCCAGGAAGCTGCCATAGTCTGTGCTCTGCAGGTGGAGCTTCAGATCTGCAAGGGAGACACAAGCAGATTAGGAAAATTAACTTTATCCTTAGAGATGTTAGTAAGTGTGAAAAAAACCTTAAATTAAGATGCAAGATGCGCAACGTAGCGTGAAATTATCATATTTATCTAAAACCTCAGCAGAACCATTCCACTATGCGTGCATGTTTTAGCTAATTGTATACACATCATGTACAGTTAACATTGCAATTGCAGTGTTGACATAGACTTGTACAACCCATCAGAGTTAAGATGACATCTTTGTATTTAGAATTATAATATCATTGATACTGTAATATATTACATGTTAAATCATGTACTCTGATGCAGTATGATGTTTTTATGATACTATATCAATACATTTGACCTTATATTATGTTTTACTTTATTCTTTTGGTGCTGCAACACTTCCTTTCTGTTTAACTATAACATTACAATCTCAGTCATATTGATGTTGACCAGCAGTGACAGTATGCGTTAATGACCATAATAAACTGCGGTAGTGTCAGAGTAATACAGCCATCTAATGATTATAAAATATGCCATCTGTTCGACACTGTAGTTCTACGGTGTAGTATGTGACATCACGGGGTAAAAACATCTTCCTATTGTTATTTCACTTCCTCTTAATAAGTCCGTGATTGAACAATATAAGAAAAAACACTTGGCTGTATCAGCTTAGCTTGTGTTAGCATAGCGTTAGCTCCCTAGCTAGCTAGGATTTAGGAGATAGTAAGCTTTTAAAAAACACATTTCGACAACGGTTTTAACAAATATTTGCAAATTGTCGACGTAGTGCTTACGGACTGCTACTTTTTGGCAATAATGCCAAGTAGAGAGTTGAATACTGCGTTTTAACGCAACACGATCGTTGATGTAAATCGAGCTAACTAGCTTCAAGACTGACAGCTAGCTTTAGCTTGAATGAGCCCCGTATGGCTAGCTATTGCTCGTGTTACTAGCCATTGTTTAACTCACCTTCCAGGGTCTCACACTGAACGAGGTTCAAATAATCCCCCTGGGACAGTATTCCAGCTTTGAATCCTCTGACCAGCCCCTCCAGGTAGCCATTATCAACGTTAAAATAGAGCTCGGAGAAAGGCATCCTGTCTGACAGTCAGATCCGTCTCTGCCACTGGAGAACCGTCAGTCGGCTTGTTAGCGTTAGCGTCAGCTGACTGCACCATGTGACCGTCACCTGACTTTCCAAATACTCGTGCATGTGTGTGTGTGTGTGCGCGCGCGTTTCTATGGAGCTTTGCATAGTTTGCATTTAGCATTTCAACCACTTCAGTTCATATTGCCAAAACAACAGAGAAGTACTCAGATCTTGTACTTGAGTGAAATAAGAAGTCCCAGAGCGTGGGAGTATCTGTAACAAGTAATAGTCCTGCAATCAAAATGTTACTCAAGTAATAGTACAACAGTATTGGCATCAAAAGTACCAACAGTGTAAGTACTTATTATGCAGATGATTGGCCCATTTCAGAATGATATACATTTTGATTATAATTATTAATGCATTAAAGTGTTATCAAAGCTGATAAAGTGCAGTTTTAATGACGTTGTATACTGCAGGGTAGCTTGTGAATTTACTCCAGGTGTAGCTAAAGTCTTATTTAAGTGTTGACTATGTATCACACCATTAATCCAAATCTGTAGAGTAACTAAAGGTATTCAATAAATGTAGTGGAATAAAAGTACACAATTAACCTCTAAATAGTAGTGGAGTGGAAGTACAAAGTAGCAAACATTTTAAATACTCAAGTAAAGTTCAAGTACCTCAAAATAGTACTTAAGTACAGTACTTGAGTATCTATTTAGTTAATTTACACCACTGCAAAATACAAAGCAGAGTTAAAAGTTATTGCTTGACATTTAAATTGAACAAGAATAAATAAATGTCAGGACTGCAATTAAATGAAAATAGGCAAATAGAAAAATAGTAAAAAGCTAAAATAAACCAATGTCATATAAAAAATGAGAATAGTATTAAAAAGATAAGTCAAGTTGGTTGTAAAAGGGTGGGTGCACGTACAAAAAATACAGTTTTCAAAAGATTCTGAGAAGAGTTTTGCAAAGGCAAGGCAAGTTTATTTATATAGCACCTTTCAGCACAAGGCAACCCAATGTGCTTTACAAAATAAAATAAAAGACATTTAAGAATAAATATAGAAGAAGCACATTATAAAATGGCATTTAAAAACAGGCATTTAAAAAGCGAAGATAATAAAAGAAACACAACAGGTATAAAATGCATGAATAAAAGCCATACTGCAGTGTGAATATGAACAACTCACTCGAATGCAGCAACAAAAATATACGTTTTTAGTCTGGATTTCAAAGTATCAACAGTTGCAGCGGACCTGCAGGATTCAGGGAGTTTGTTCCAGATGGGCGGGGCATACAAACTAAACGCTGCTTGTCCATGTTTAGTTCTGACTCTTGTAACAGAGAGCAGACCCAGAAGACCTGAGACTCCTGGAGGGTTCATACTTCTGCAGGAGATCGTTAATATAATTTGGTCCTAAACCATTCAGTGCTTTAAAAACCAGCAATAGTACTTTAAAATCAATTATTTTGTAGACTGGAAGGCAGCCAGTGTAAAGACTTCAAAACTGGACTATTTTAGATCCTTAGGCAGGGAGCTCCAGGTGAGCTGAGGGGTCCTAGCAGTACTGGGCCAGTTTACCTTTGGTTTTAAGTCAGGACAGGAACGATTTGAATTTAAAAACATTTTATAAAACAATTTATACAAATCATTATACTAATTTAATCATCTACATTAAGATACTTTGGTTAATAGGTATGAACGTAGCCTTCCTGTCCTGGACCAGGCACATCCAATGCAATCCCATTTTTCAGTCCGGATGTTTTTTTGGATTGTTATTTTTTAGTATTCATTTCTATCCCATTGAACAAATTATAAGCTCCATCCTTTTATCTTTTCTCTAGAGTCTAATCCAACAAATAAATAAATCATGCGCTTAAAATGTCTTAGGGGTTGTTCAGTTGTTGTTTTAGAAATGTTGCAGTGTTGTTTAATTATTTTTAGAACCTTTGAGACAACGTCAAATTCATGTCTCCACCATCTATTCATAACAGAACTACGTCAGGTGATTTCTCTGGCAGAGATATAGCTTTTGTAAACAGGTTAGAGCAGTTTGGGGAAACAAAAAATGAGGATGTGACGAAAATAAATTAGACACAAACAAAGCAAGAGTAACAGACGGAGAATGAGAAGTGTTGTGAGATGTGCTTGTTTAAACGGTTTTCCATTGGATCAAAACGAGAGTGTTTGCAGGTAAGAATCTATCTATAAATCAATTGTGTTAGGTTTGATGGTTGTGGGAATCATTTCCATTGAGGTTTAATGGGGCCCTTATCATGCTTGTTTCTGTAAAGGTAAACGCTACAACATGAATGTGTCTAAGGAGAGAGAGCATGGGGTCTCTTCCTCTGAAGTCACTCTATCTGATCCACATGACAACAAGACCAGAGCTGTGCAGTAAGATCAACTTTTCTCTGCTTGTTGTGACTGTGTAACCTCTCAGAGCTCTACAATATGTTGTGTTTATGTTGTGTTAAAGCCCACAGACACAGGAGAGACCAGACTCACCTGGACCTCCCTGTGTGTCCTCAAGGAGTGACTGGTCAATGTCTGAACCCATTCAGTTCAAGAACATGGGGCCAAGTGTTGAGCTAAGGTAAGAATTTAAAGCATGAGTATGAGTTTGCAGTTGACCTGTATTATAACTCATTCAATAATTATTAAAGCTTATTCAGATTAATGTGAAAACAGCCAAATATCCAACAAAATGTCAATAAACAAACTACATTTTAAGGGGAGGAGGGCATTAGTACAGTTCATAACCTGCACATTTGAATTATTACTGTTAATGTTGTGTTAAAGCCCAATGAAGCAGGAGAGACCAGACTCACCTGGACCGACCTGTGTGTCTGTGAGGAGTGACCAGTCTATGACTGAACCTATTGAGTTGAAGAATGAGGGGCCAATTGTTGAGTCAAGATAAGAATGACACTTCAAGAGATTCAGACATTTATTTAAAAACAATTAATGACGTGGATAATTAACAAAACGAAAAAACTGGACTTCAAGGAAGTGAGTCACTGAACATGCAGGAATAGTTTTTAATGGCAGTTACTGGAAGGTACCTGGCAGTTGATCAACATTCTTCAGGATACCTGAGCTCCTCCCACACAAACAGATGCTATTTTTAGATTAATCGGCCACTCTAAAGTGCTGTATTTGTTCAAGAGGATTTGGAACTTGAGGGTTTTGACCTGGTTTAAGTTTGATTAAAGTTCAGGTTGAGGCTAGGTCCAAGTTTGACATGTAATGGTAAGAGGTAGATTCATCCTACAGAGTGTGTTAGTTGTTTCTTAGCTTTTCATCATCCATGGGGCGTACAGAACTTATGTGTTATTTTCCTTTTGTTAAATGAGAGCTTCCTCCATCACTGATTTTCTGATTGGACACATCGGTTACATTAATAATCCTAGATCCAAGCTATTTAGCTATCATAAGCCTCACCGTTGCCTTCTTTACATTCCCAATAATTGTCATCTGAAAATGTTCATCTTTGTCACAGGTGTTAGAATGATTTAAACTGAATAAATACCTTCCAGAGAATCAGATTTCGCACATTGTTGAAGTGGGACACATGTAAAATGACCTCGTGTTTTCTGGGTGTACAGATTTCCACGGATGAGGTCAGTGGTCATCAAAGGGAGGCCTGCAAAGAAACATCCACAACATCTGGACTCCATTTTCATGGTAAGAGAAGGGACATTGAACACAACTGTATGAATAATATGCTCTGAATTTGTATATACGTGAGGGAAAATAAATGCCAATTGCCATATTAGAGATTCAAATACAAATTCAAAGGCAACGGAATTGTCTGTTTCTTTTGTTTTGGTTACTCTAGTCCTTTTTCCGTTTTATTGTCTTGACAGTGCCTCACATTCAAAACACTTTCACCACATATTCAGTGCATCACAGGCAGTTACAGTTCACTTATTGACTAAGCTCCAAGTGCGTAATAGGCCAGAGTGCAGTAATTTTTACCACTTGAACACAACATAGCAGACGGTAAGCTATACTGTAGATTCAGGAAAAAATCTTTATATTTGAATGATACACTTTCCAGCTTCTTGAGGAGAGCATTGTGACATTTGTGAAGAAGGAGTTGAAGAAGTTCAAGCGAGTTCTAGAAAGTTCAGAACGCTTAGAGGGGCTGAAAGAAGAGGATGATTCTCTGGAAGGTGAAGACGAAGAGCAGGGAAGCAGCAACAGAGATGCATTTCTGACACTCACACTCAACTTCCTGAGGAACATGCAGCAGGAAGAGCTGGCTGACTCTCTACAGAGCAGTAAGAAACGTTTTTCAATTACATAACAGTCATTGAAATATGGCATTTTACTGGTAGATCTTTGAACTCAAGATCTGATGTTTGAGATTAGTCTAATATCTGAATTAGTTGTTCAAATGTGAGTTTATTGATATGAACATGTTAACCATAACATTTAATGACTGATGTTTTCTGTTTTCTTCTCAGGAAGTCTTATTTCGATTTGCCAACGTAAACTGAAGTCTAAACTGAAGGAAAAGTTTCAGTGTTTGTTTGAAGGAATTGCTAAAGCAGGAAACCCAACATTTCTGAATAGTATCTTCACAGAACTCTTCATCACAGAGGGGGAAGGTAGAAAGGTCAGTTCAGAAACAACAATTAGACATGAGGATATTTTTAAACCTTTACCTGGAAGAGAGACACCAGTCAGGACTCTGGTGACAAAGGGAGGGGCTGGCATTGGGAAAACCGTCTTTACGCAGAAGTACATCCTGGACTGGGCTGAAGGCAAAGCCAACCACAATATACAGTTTATCTTTCCATTCACTTTCAGAGAGCTCAATTTGCTAAAAGCAGAAAAATACAGCTTGGTGGAACTTCTTCATCACGTCTTTACTGAAACCAAAGAAGCAGGAATCTGCAGGTTTGATGAGTTCCAGGTTGTGTTCATCTTTGACGGCCTGGACGAGTTTCGACTTCCCCTGGACTTCCAAAACAATGAAATACTCACTGATGTTACCATGCCAACTTCAGTTGGAGTGCTGCTGACAAACCTCATTAGAGGTAAGTTGCTTCCCACTGCTCGCCTCTGGATAACAACACGACCTGCAGCAGCCAATCAGCTCCCTCCTGAGTGTGTTGACATGGTGACAGAGGTGAAAGGCTTCAATGACCCACAGAAGGAGGAATACTTCAGGAAGAGATTCAGCGATAAAGGGCACGCCAGCAAAATCATCTCCCACGTCGAGGCATCAAGAAGCCTCCACATCATGTGCCACATCCCAGTCTTTTGCTGGATCACTGCTACAGTTCTGGACCACGTCTTGAAAAACAGAGAGAGGGCAGAGCTGCCCGAGACCCTGACTGAGATGTACATCCACTTCCTTGTGGTTCAGACCAAACAGTGGAATGTAAAGTATCATGGAAGTGCGGCAACAGATCAAGTCTGGACCACAGAAACCAAGGAGACCATTCTCACTCTGGGAAAACTGGCTTTTGAGCAGTTGGAAAACGGAAACCTCATCTTCTATGAAGCAGACCTAAAAGAGTTTGGCATTGATATAAAAGCTGCGTCAGTCTTCTCAGGACTTTTTACAGAGATCTTCGAAGATGGCTTTGGACTGAACCAGGACAAGATGTTCTGTTTTGTCCATCTGTCAGTTCAGGAGTTTTTTGCTGCACTCTATGTCTTCCTGACATTCAGCAACACTGGCATTGATCTCCTGAAAAAAAGGCGATTCCCCTCAGTGCAGAGTGTGCCATTACAACGTGAGTTTCACTTCACTCTCTACAAGACTGCAGTGGACAAGGCTTTAGAGAGTCCAAATGGACACCTGGACTTGTTTGTCCGCTTCCTTCTGGGCCTTTCACTGGAAACCAATCAGAAACTCCTACAAGGCTTGCTGAAAAAAGGGGAAAGTAAACAAGAAGTCAAAGGGAGGCTGCTGCAGTACATCAAGAACAAGATCAAGGACAGTCCTCCAGAGAGGAGCATGAATCTCTTCCACTATCTGAAAGAGTTGAACGACAGTTCACTAGTGGAGGAGATCCAGCAGTACCTGAGATGCGGGAATGTCTTTGGAAAGAATCTCTCGCCTTCACAGTGGTCAGTGCTGGTTTTCATCCTAATGTCATCGCAAAAGGATCTGGACGCACTTGACCTGAGGAAATTATTTTCTTCTGAGGAGGGTTTTCAAAGGCTGCTGCCAGTTGTCAAAGCATCCAACGCCGCTCTGTAGGTGTACAGATACACAATAGAATACATTTGTTGCATGTAATAATTGATGTGGCTGAGGACGAGGACACACTTTACACTCAAAGTACTCGTTTTATTTTTCAGGTTGAGTGGCTGTAACCTCTCGTGGAGAAGTTGTGAAGCTCTGGTCTCAGTTCTCACTTCCAAGAACCGTAGCCTGAGAAAGCTGGACCTGAGCCACAATGACTTGCAGGATGGAGGAGTTATGCTGCTCTCAGCTGGACTGAGGAGTTCACACAGTAGACTAGAGATTCTTGGGTCAGTATTTCTTGACTCAATTTACTCTTAAATAGATTGATAACCGAGCATGGATTTCACAGTGTTGTTGGAAAACGTAAGCGTTTGTAAATGTAATTGCAGGCTGTCAGGCTGCATGGTCAGAGAGAAAGGCTGTGAGATTCTGGCTTCAGTTCTGAAGTCTAACCGCTATCTGAGAGAGCTGGATCTGAGCTACAACCACCCTGGAGACTCAGGAGTGGCCCAGCTACATGCTCTACTGGATGACCCATGCTGTAAACTGTAAACTCTCAAGTAGAGTAGATTATATTTATTGGACAGATACATCTTGCCTGTCGTATACGTGTAGATGTAGTGTTTGTGTTCATTTGTCTTTCTCTGTCACTCACAATTATCCTCCTTTTCCACAGGATTGACCATTGTGGAGAGCTTCGGCTGAAACCGGCACCTCTTAGGTGTAAGTGGCATTTTTACTTGGTCACTGATCTGTCCAAAGGTAGCATAATACGTCTTCCAGCAACTCCAATGCTTACAAAAATAAATCATATCTCATGGTTTAATCCGCAGAAAAAACAAATGGTAAAACAACAACATCGCCCCGCACTAGCTTGTGCAGGCGCAATGATATCTTATGATTTAGCACATCATTCGTTAAACAAACTACAAAATAAGTGAAAGTATTGTATAAGGTGACGTTGCATTGAACTTCATTTAGCCTGGCACTATTCTTAATGAGTTTTTCCTGTACCAATCAATAGTGAATGATGTATCTGTCAAATCCATTTGATGTAAAAGCTGCAGTAGTGGTTGTAGGGGTAGTTAACTTACAGTTGTGTTTTATGTCCTCTGTCAGATTTCTGTGACCTTTCTCTGGACCCAAACACAGCAGAAAGAAACCTCTTCCTGTGTGACAACAACAGAAGAGCGCTGGTGGGGAAAGAGAAGCAGCCGTATCCTGATCATCCAGAGAGATTCTACAGCTGGAAACAGGTGCTGTGTAGTGAAGGTCTGACTGGGCGCTGTTACTGGGAGGTCCTGTGGAAAGGAAGGGTTCATATAGGTGTGACATACAGGGGAATCAACAGGAGAGGTGACAGCGATGACTGCTGTATTGGATGGAACGATCAGTCCTGGAGTCTGCTCTGCACCGATCAGAGTTACACGGCCTGGCACAGTAACACACCTGAAGACACAGAAAAAGCCCCCTGCGGCAAGAAGGTAGCAGTGTATCTGGACTGGCCTGCTGGCACTTTGGCCTTCTACTGTCTCCCCTCCATTTTCTCTTCAGACAAACGGATCCACCTCTTCACCTTCCACACGACCTTCTCTGAGCCCCTCTACCCCGCGTTTGGGTTTGGACGAATGCGTGAGGGTGCAAAGGATTTAAGATCCACACATCCCTCAGTTTGTCTGTCACAGATTGAACAATCCCCTCCAAACTGAGATGTCTTAAGACAGTACCTTAAGAAGAACAAATTGTGTAGAAAAAGTTACCTTTACAGCTGAAATCATTCATATGAGCTCACAGAAACATGAGCCAGTCAAAAGATTTAAAAGCAGACTTTAAAGGAAACTCTTAGCATGTGGCATGTTGTGGATATAAACAAATAATGTGGCAATGCTAAGTTAAAAAGCTAAAGAGACACAAATCCTATTCTTAAGCCAATATAGATGGTAAAAAGAGAAGCCAAGATAAGATACGCTTTATACAAACATGTGTGCACATACACAAATAGCATTGACTGTTCAAACTACAATTTACATAACAGAGTTGACCTGTGTGTAATTGGAAGGGTCAGTGAAGGTTTGGGTGAACCACTTATTAAGGGGGTCTGGTTATGGGTAATATCATTCTTGTAAACAGTGTATTTAACAGAAAAGGACAAGGAGGTATATCTGTCCCAATGTATTTAAAGGTCCCCTATTATGCAAAATGCACTTTTTAATTTCTTTAATAGATGTATATATATATATATATGTCTCCCCTGTGAAGAGACACAGAACGTTTCAGAAAAAAATGTTGTCTCTTTCCCTCCTGATCCAAGTGTGTTAGGTGAGTTAGGTTTCAGGTTCATACGTGACGTAAAATTCATCTTTGACGTCATTTGTGGGTTGTACGGCATTAGCAACAAACCAACCACTGTCAGCCCCGCCCACCCTCTTACCTGAATCTCCTCCCGCAGCCCCTCTGTGTGTCTGTGTATTTTTGGTTGAAACAGAGGGGTTTATGTCATGCTATGATTCATAATCTATTAGGTATTTTGAGCCAAACACTTCAAAGACATGTTTTGTATATATCTGACACCTATAATATATTGTTGAAATACACTATTATATGTGACCTTGAAATGATGGCAATTGTCCTACCAGCTGGCCTTCAATACTTAGGAGCTGGAAAAGAGGTGGTTGTGATTTAGAGCGATACATTCAAAACAGAATCAGTACATGTTATACACTATATTATTATATAAACTCAAATTTGTATTTAGAAATGTAATACATATAGTTTCTTTTACCTTTTTGCATTCTTAATTTGTGTGTGTCTTATTTTAAGTTCAATATTGATCTAGAAATCTGCACAGCAACTACAATCTAAATCTATTCAGTTTCATCAGAACTCTTTACATGATTGTATATTTGATATGAATATGTAATATAAAGGATTTTATTGCTTTATGTCCAGATATTATGACTTTAGCAATTTATTTATGAAAACAAGCTGCCGGCAGATATTAAGTGCAATCTTGAGAGCAAATTAAAATGGACAATGATCCAAGCTTACTTTTTAAACGCATATTTTTTGCACACTTTTTGCTATTTCCTCTTTTTTTGCTGTCATGCACCGAAACTCCACATTCCTAATATATGTATACCTACTTGGCAGTAAATCTAATTCGGGAGTAATTAAAAAATAAAGATTATTTTACAGTTTTTCTCGATTGCTAACACAATATTATACAGTGTTGTATAAAAGTAAGTTCACCACAGTACATTGTGCAGGATCTTTGTACAGTTATAGCATGCAACATGCCAACAATTCAATTACAGCAATGAAGTCAATACGATTCACACAACAGATATAAGCACTGATATATCATGAGAGTATTCTTCTTTGTCCACGTCCTCTCCCTCCAGCTCTACCTCTACCTCTCATTCTTCCTCCTCTCACTCTCAGCCCAGCTCTTCCTCCTCCTCTCACTCTCAGCCCAGCTCTTCCTCCTCCTCTCACTCTCAGCCCAGCTCTTCCTCCTCCTCTCACTCTCAGCCCAGCTCTTCCTCCTCCTCTCACTCTCAGCCCAGCTCTTCCTCCTCCTCTCACTCTCAGCCCAGCTCTTCCTCCTCCTCTCACTCTCAGCCCACCTCTTCCTCCTCCTCTCACTCTCAGCCCAGCTCTTCCTCTTCCTCTCACTCTCAGCCCAGCTCTTCCTCCTCCTCTCACTCTCAGCCCAGCTCTTCCTCCTCCTCTCACTCTCAGCCCAGCTCTTCCTCTTCCTCTTCTTCTTGCTTCCATGTTGGCTTCCATTGTTGCTGTAAGAAAGTTCTCACCTGTGGTCTTTTTATAGTGCTAACATCCTGATTGATGAGCCAACCATTATGCTATCAGGTGTTTGGTCAGGTGGAACGTGTTTCTTGATCATTGGTCCATGTGTGAGGCATTTTGAATATCAGTGTTTTAAACCAGCTAACACGTGACTTTATGTCAGATTCCTGTGTCTTACGTGGAGAAACGTAAGAACGTAAGAATGAGAGGTAGAGGTAGAGCTGGAGGGAGAGGACGTGGACAAAGAAGAGTACTCTCTAATGAAATGAAATGTTATCAACCATGGTTTGACGATGAGAGAGGCTGGACAGAAGGTTCAGCCTAATCTAAGCTGATTTACTGTTGCCTCTGTAATCCGGACACTTAGACTTGAAAACAGGTTAGTTACCAGTTTGTAGCTCTGCATAATTCATGATATATCAGTGCTTATATCTGTTGTGTGAAACTTATTTACTTCATTACTGTAATTGAATTGTTGGCATGTTGCATACTATAACTGTACAGAAATCCTGCACAATGTACTGTGGTAGACTCACTTTCATGCAACACAAACACTGAGCGACCACTATGTCTTTGCTGTTTATCTGAAGGACTGAGAAACAAAGAGGTGGAAGGCTAAGGATTTTCAATGAGGCACAGGAAGCAGCAGCTACAAACTGGGTTTTGGCAAACAATGCCATCCCATTTAGAGAGATCCGAAGCATAGTAACTATGTGCTGAGATGCAGGATGTTGCACAATGTTATCTTTGAATTAAATATGATTTTTTTTAACAACTCATTTGTATTTCTTCATTTACTGTATTTCTGTAAACTCAAGCAATCTTTCTCTGCAGAACCCTCTCTGTACAGAGCAAAGCCCATATCAGATTAAAGTGCTTTAGAGTATGCTCAGCAGGGTGTAGCTGGGTGGTCAAACCATCTTTATGAATGAAGTGTGTTATATTTGGTGCTATGTAGTTTTGAGTGCAGTTCTTCACTTAGCAGGAGAAATGAGATGTTTTGCACTTTGGGTGTGTGGTTTTGTGAATTGTGTTTAGTGTTCTGAGAAACTGAGCAATTAAAAAAAATGTGTGTTAGCAATCGAGAAAAACTGTAATGAATTAAAGTGCTACTTGGTTTTTTGCCCACTGACTGGCTGGTCCTGTGGCTCGTCTTTTCTGTGTAACTAGCTGATGCTCAATCTCATCCTCTTCTTCAAAGTCACTGTCAGACTCAGAATTCTCAGAAACGTGATCCTCACGTTCTGAAACCTCTTCCTCTACATCAGGGGTCCCCAAACTTTTTCCTGTGAGGGCCACATAACTTTTCCCTTCTCTGATGGGGGCCGGGTCAGTTTGTAACAGAACAAGTGTGACGATCGCATGGGTGTTTAAACGTAAACATTTATTGTTTTCTAGAAAGCCACACATAACCAAATATTAATAACCCTTTCCGGGATCTTCACAGAAAAAAAGTTAGGAAATAAATAATAACACTATTAATGAAATAAATAATAACACTATTAATGAAATAAATAATAACCAAATAACCCTCTCTGGGTCAGTGGCGTTTTCTCCTGGAGGCTCCTGTTTTTTCGGATTGTAGTTCTAATTTCAATAAATAAATAAAAACACTTTGTTTTGTTTCGATAATTCTCCTTTGCTGTGTGTTGCTGCCGGCCGTCTCTCCCCCATTGTCATTGAGTACTTTACAAAGAGTGAAACAAACAGCGCCCCTCTAGATGTTATGGTGAAACAGTAGATTGCACTCACTGTTGCGAGAGGAGGCCAGCCGAATCTGGCTTCCTTTGGTGAAAAAAAATGGAGGGATTGACCAATCAGATGAGGCCCACGTGATGCCCCTGCCAACCTGTGATTGGTCAGGGCCATGCCAAGGGAAGCCAGCCGCCTCTTGCTTCCCTTCAGAGGCGGCTGGCGGCTGGCGATTTGATTGGACACTGCCATCCAATCAAATCACATCAACATCAGTTTTAATACTGTAACTGTCATCACCGCCGTTAGAAATTATCAAGCAAATGAAGCATTTTCGGTGGAGATTTGGTGTACTTAATCAAACATAACTTTACTAAACTTCCGCTACAGCAGCAACTAAAAATTAAATCAGATGACAGGCCAATGCCCGCACTCGAGCTGTGTGTACACCAGTGGTTCTCAAACTTTTTCTGTCAGGCCCCCCCTTTGGAGAAAAAAAAAAGTCGGGCCCCCCCAACACAAATAGTCAGGCTCAGTGGCGGCGCCAGAGATTTATTTTGGGGGTTCTGTGGGGTAGCTTGACGTTTCATAGAGGGTGCTCAAACATTTAGGGTTTCCCATTAATGTACCGGTCGCTACAGCGGAATGTTCTACTGCAACACTCCACACGCATATACACTATGTACCCGCGACTGTTACAATGAAGGCTCGATAATCAGCTCACGGCATATAGGTGTAAGCAGGGGTAAAGTGCTATTTTTATAGGTGGTGTGTGGACCTCACATAGGGGGGTCCGGGGGCAAGCTCCCCCGCGAAGATATTTTTTTCAATCTTGAAGTTAAAAGCATCAATCTGGTGCACTTTGAGAGCAACATGAAGAGATCTATGGATACCTCTCTCAACACCCAGATGAAACAGAACTGTGAACAGATTTACTTTTTCTTTATGGATATTTTACAAATCACTCCCCTTTTAAACTTTATTGTTGTTTTAGTGTCATATAGTATTTCATACCTGTTTTTCATTTATTCTCTTATTTTTTTAAAACAATAATGATCATATAAACGTGTGCCTCGGAAATAATTGTTTACATTAATGGTGACCAAAACGTTTGAGATCCACTGAGAGAGTCCTTTAGCTCACTGAGTCTCTCAGTCTGACAGGAGAGGACTCTCCTCCACTTTGTTGTTGAAAAGACTCCTTATATCCGTTAGCATAGCTCGCTAGCACCAGAAGCTAACAACAACGATCTCCGGTACCGGTGCGCTCTCTCTCTCGCGCACACAAAATGGCTCGTTCCACACACACAGAGCCGAGCTTTAATGAAACACAGAGACCCAGACGTAATAGTACTGCATCATATTATTTTCGAATCAATAATTTTTCAAATTATGATTTTTTTTTTAATCTTTTTTTTTTTTAATAACAATTTTTCCTCCTGGTCTCTCGAGCCCCCCCTGGCATGCCTCTGCGCCCCCCAGGGGTGGCGCGCCCCCCACTTTGAGAACCACTGGTGTACACAGAGGAAAAAGGGAGAGAATCGGACGTTCAATGAGGACAATTATGTCCGCACGGAGTGGCTAACTGGAAGCGCTAAACTTCAGCGTCTATTTTGCTGGCCATGTCTTCTTTTTGACAAGGATTCGTGCTCCCTGAACAATCCTTGGGCAACTTCAGGATTCATCGACCTAAAATGAACTTGCCAAGCTGAAGTAGATGGTCAACTTCATTCATTTTCTTTCCGTTTTACTGATTTTAATCGCTATAAGCTGCTCTCTCTCGTCTCCTCTTCACAACTACACTTTTCGCTGCACACATGTTTACAGCCAATCAGCTCTGAATTATGAGATGACGTTTGGTGGGTATGCCAGCCATGCCACTGGTGATTTTTTTTTTGCCCCTAATGACGAGTCGCCACTGGTTAGGATCAACATTTGGATTGTTTTCAGTGACCAACTCCCAGGACGAGACATGGTAGAGTTCAGCCAATTTGATCTGATTTTGAAAGAAAAGGACAGATTTAAGTCATGGGTTGAAGACGCGAACGTCTTACCTAGATACTATGACAGCAAAAACATTCTTCTTTCCAGGCAAACCTGTTTGTACTTCTTGGAAAGAGCTTATTGGAAAGTTCCACAGTATGTTATGACAATTCAAGCCTTTGAGAAAAAGGACTAAAAGCCCCTGAAGCAGGAAGCAATGTGAAAACAAAGGTCAAGTGACAAAGCAAATGTGACGGTGTCGGGTAGGTAGTGACAGATATCTGCCTTGAAGTCTGACTGATGACATGTTACTGTATACACAAACATGACTTTGTGTAGGTCAATCAATCAATCAATCAATAACTTTATTAATCCCGCAAGGGGCAATTGGTTATGAGCAGCAGCTTATGTCATGTACACAGGCAGGAACATACAAGAAGAAAAAAAAACACACAGATACACCCGGGAGCACAGATGTGAATAATTCTAATTTACACTATAAATAGTTCAAAGCATCACAATAATAAATAAATAAATAAATAATCAAGTTAAAAGCCTTTTCAAGAATTTAAAAGTTTGAGTGCAGAAGGGATGAATGATAGAAAAGCGACTAGTCCTTTGAGCAGGTAGAGCTATCTACACCCTGAAGGCAACAGACGAAATTCATGTGAAAGTACATGACCTGGAGAGTTCAGAATGCGCTCTGCTTTCCGCAGAATCTGTTGGTTACAGAAGGAATGTAAGTCTCTCTGTTTCGATGATCTTGGAGCAGGTTTTAACAA